TGTTTATAAACCTGTATGAATTGATTTTTTTGTATTTTTGTCCCCGCGGCATATCCAGTCTGGCTCTTCCCTTAAAGCTATTGAAGTTGATCATGTATAAACATGGGTCAATGTATTCACAGGTAATCAACCCAGTCACCATGGAAACCCTTATCCCAAGGACCTGCGGTAGTAACGCGCCCAGTGTTGCAGTACATGCGGGTTTTCTGGAGGTCCGCTTCCATTCTGATTCTACAAATATAGGGAAGGGATTTAAAGCAGTGTACCATGAATGTGAGTACTGACCGATAGACTTTGAGATCGATACATATTTTTAAAAATCATCATATTGGTAAAGATATAATTATTTTAAAGAGACTAAACGTAGCAGTATTTTCAGTAGTGAGTTGCAATGTTTCGACCTAGCTAGGCCATTGATAACTCTACTTTATCTTCATTGATGACGGACCGAAATATTATGAATAACAGAAACAACACATTTAGAGTTCAAAGAAACAATTTTTTGATCATGTTTTTATCAAGTTTTTGAAGTCGGTGATTATGGCTTGTCTCAAATTTATGAATCAAAATATCACATATCGGATATTAAGTTTTCTAGCTTTCGGTTTTGCATTTGATCTTGTCATTGTCATTTATTTATTTTTATATGCTACCAGAAAACGTTGGAGAGGGAGAAATTTAATGCCATATCAATAAACAACACCATACATATAACTAATTAAAAAAGATTACATTAAAAACATTAAACCAATGTATTCTCAACAAATGTTTTTCTGTTTTTTTGTTGTAATGAATGGTATGTAAATTTGCAATTTCAAGATTTCCCATTTTTATCTGTTAATAAGCGCATGAAGATTTTTCATCCAATTTATACTTTCATTTTTGCACAGCAATTGGAGACTGTCGTCTAAAAGGTGGGTAAGGAAAAACAATTTTAATACATTTCAGATATTGTTTTATCAGATGAGTTCAGCTGATAACTAGCTACTGTGGGAGCGTTAATTCTTAGTGTTTTCATATAATGGAAACGGTTAAATTAACAGTTTAAAGAAAATGTTTTATACTTCTATGACACCCTTCCGCCGCTGAATGATAACCACCTTATTTAACAGTACATCATCACACCGGTATGTTAAAACGACAACATGTAGTTTGTTGACACATATTTCAAATACCAATCGAAAATTATAATCATATTTGGTTAGGTATATTCATTTACAACGAACAAATAAATTATAACAGGGTCGTAAAATAAGGCTCGTCTGAATTTTGTCAAAGGAAGTGACAAATACGAAAAGGGAACTAACAATAAAAAATCATCCATATCATATAAAAAATCCCTCTCGTTGAGATGTTCTAAAGTCATGAAATACATTTCTGCAGGCGGTGTTACAAGCACTTGTGGGGGTGAGTCCAATTCCACTTACGTCACCACACCAAACTTTCCAGTGGCAAATTACGATCCCAGCACCGATTGTTACTACACTGTTAAACCTGCTGAACCCGGAATGGGCGTGGCTCTTGCTTTCGTATCATTTCGAGTGACTTCAAGCGACAACTGTTCGGGAGATTACGTACAGGTGGGTTGACAATTTAAAGTGCCTTATAATTATAATTAACAGCTATGGCACATTAAATTCAAATGCCAGCGTAATACTGGATAACTTTAAAAGAGTTTTAAATCATGCCACTGGCAATAATGAAATATAACAAAATAGACTTTCATTTAGTACGATCAAATCAAGTTTGGAATAGATGGATTTCTTCTTTCGTTCCAAACAATACTCCCATTCTTATCTAGAAGAGAACCACATATTCATTTATTAATGCTCAAAATTGTGCCTTTTGGGTGGTGCCAGAAGTAGGCAATCGTGTTACACGGTTTGTTATTTATTCATTGAATAGTACTGGAATATACCCTTTTTTGCCAATCAAAGGATAGGGTTTACGTTCATTGAATTATAATTTCTCATATGTATCGCTCATATGCATATGTATCGCAGTATGTGGTGATCATCACATTAAAAAAAGAAATAATTTTCCAACAGATAAGGTCTTCAACTGGTGACGTTCTATCCCACACTTGTGGAAACAGTATACCGACCCCAGTGTCTGACCGAAAAGGTTTGTGGATTCATTTTCATGCGGATGATTCCGGTGGTGATGCCGGGTTCATGGCTATATACTGCAACAGTAAGTAAATAGATTATCCTTGTTAGCCTTTAACATGGTTCATTAGCAAAAAGGGACTGTACACCACATTTGAAAACTTGTCAACATTCTTAAGTGTTTTTGTTTAACGGCATAGTGTCTATTTAAAATGTACCCAGTATGAACATTAATTGTCGTCATGTTATTGATGAAATTTAGGATCTTCATGTAGCTTATACACACTGACTGTTATTCAGTATGGTATAGTTATATTTTATTTACTTTTTCAATCATCAGCAATTGAGGAGTGCGCACGACAAACTGGTAAATATTAACTACCAACGCTGTAAATATACTTACTGTCAGTAATACAGTACCAATAAAAGTAATTCATGTACTGCTACTGTACTTAACGAGTCAATTGTCCAACTGAAACGGTACGTTAACCACTATACGTCTAGTTTGTCACATTTCTATTTAAAGCAGAGAAATTGAATATGTCACCTCAATTTGTTCTACTTATTAATGTAGCAAGTAATTCATTTGTTTATCTGTACGTTGACTATCCTTTCAGCTGTTTATACTTATATATGCATCTTCATGTATGTCTGTACGTTCTGCCTTCTATATCAACGTTTCCAGATAATCCATGCGGTGGCGGCAATTTTATTGCTGGTACCGGAGGGATAAAGTCGCCATTTTATCCAATAGCTTACCCTGATAATATTAAGTGTTAGTACATTATAACACCGGGTGATCCGGAATCCTGTGTCGCCTTGTCCTTTGTGGGAGAATTTGAACTAGAATCGGACTGTTCTGATAACTACAATATAAATGCAATAACTTATTATAAAAAGCTATTTGGCCGTATATGCGCACACACTTGGAACATTGCAATAGAAAGCAATGCTATGATTGCAAACTGACCAAGCGCACAAATAATATCGGAGTATAAAACGATTCTTAAAGATATGCAAGGATATTATCACCCTTCTATTCTGAAGGACAGAATTGAATTGCTACTTAACACGCCAGAGCAAGAGTCATAAAATGTACATACATGTAATAGTAAGACCTTACTTGTTGCACATATTCACCATACAGGGCATAAAACTCTATGCGCCTATTATCTGGTTAAATACAACAGTTACTTGGACATTGTTTAAATAATCGTAACTCAAGCCAGGAATATCAACCGTTTTGTGGAACCTGTTACAGTGAATTTGAAAACAGACACTAGTAGTTTGTTTTATTACCTCTAGCATTGCTATCGGTGAATAGCTGCAAATAAATAAATAAAATCACGTGGACTTGAAATCCAACGTATTGTCTTATGGATACATCTCATATGCAACGAAAGTGTACGTCGATTATGCATCATATAAATACAAATATCATTTGATAATGGACAAATAGATATCAATGACTGTTAGCTTTTAAAGGGAGTAAGATATTTCAAGGGTTAATTCCGTCAGCAGTCCCAAGTTTCATAACCATGACTCATAATTTTAATGTCTGTAATGTATTAGTTATTTATTGTATGCATATCCTTAACATATTCGATTTTAACCAACATGCGTTTCTTTTAAAAGCTTGCGACAAAAATCAAATTATGTTGTTTAACGTTTAATGCTTCTAAAATTATTTTAAATATGTGTTATGAAGAAGAATGTATGTGTATAATACAATTTTGACTCGACGCCTTTAAAGAAACGTTGTTTTAGATTAATATAAATGTATAAATGTATAATTACCATAATATATTAGCAATGGAAAGTTTTTATCGTTTTATAGACTTTCTCGTCACAAGTTCGTGTGGGGAAGTTTTCGATTCCGGCGTCATCACCAGTCCTAGCTACCCGCTGCAGTATGTCGACAATACTGACTGCTACTACACCATTAAAGGGCAGAAACCGCTAAATCAACCTATCAGCGGCTGTTATAGACGAATGTAGTTCAGTGAGAGAAAATTAGTGCTTTTTTCCATTTTTTTCCTGGCATTTCTTGTGTGTTGCTAGGGTTAATTTTGGTATCAACTAGCAGGCTAGGGTGTATACTACTGCCAGTTTTTTTTTCAGGACCAGGCTCAGGTGCGGTGCAGTCGTGAGACCTCTGGCGGAGGGGGCTACTGACTGTGAGTGGTGCAGTGGTTTGTTTACAAACAGAGGGGTGCACGTGTTCAAGTGATGCCGGTAAGCAAGAAAGTCTGATGACAGTATATTTTTTTGCCATTGGGAGTTATGTCAGTGTGTCTACTGTCCATGGGGATGGGAAATGTTTCACAGAGTAATTTTGTTCATGCAGTATTGAAGGCATTTCTAAGTATGGTCGTCAATGGGAAATTATTTGGTGGTTTCTGCCCNAGGAAAATCAGTTTTATACCACTTTTCCTGCCAAAATGAGGAGTTATTATCCCCTTAAAGTACTTTTTAAGAGGTAATAAGGAGTAAGTTTATAATTTGCTGTAGTTGTGGTAATAGATAATATGCAAATATGCAATTTTAACATTTTCAATCTTTTATGTTGCCATATACATTTTATTGACCCACCTTTTTATCCAATTCATATTTTCATTTTGCACAGCCATAGGAAGCTGTCGTCTAAAAGGTGGGTAGTAAAAGTCACAAATCATTTTAACGCATTTAATGCATAGTATTATATGATAAATTGCTGTGTTCAGCAGATTATTAAAGCAATGTACATGTATATGCTTGTTACCAGCTGGTTGGGGCATTTTGCTAATTCTTCTTTTGTATTACCTTTTTATATCATGGCATATTTGTGAGCAAAAGGTCTCCTCAACATCTGTCATTCGCTTCAATTAATTCCCAGTCATCAATAACATCGAGATGATTCTGCTAAATACAACCGCCACGTTATACAATGCCTCCGAATGTTGGCACGACAAAGTAAAATTTGTTGACATATATATTCTGAGTCAAAGAGTGCATGTCCATTTCCAACGAGCCAACGAATGATTACAGTGTCGTAAATCAATACTTATTAGAATACTGTCAAGGTGCTAATAAAAAGGAGAAAAATTACCAAATGCAAAGTAGAAGCGCCCTTTTGGGTATAGGAGTAAAATATTTAATGCCCCCCTATTGAGAGATATTGTAATGCCATTGAATTCAATACTTTAGGCGGTGTAACAAGCACTTGCGGTGGAGAGTCCAATTCCACTTACGTCACCACACCAAACTTTCCAGTGGCAAATTACGACCCCAGCACTGATTGTTACTACACCATTAAACCTGCTGAACCCGGAATGGGCGTGGCACTTGCTTTCGTATCATTTCGAGTGACTTCAAGCGACAACTGTTCGGGAGATTACGTACAGGTGGGTTGACAATTTAAAGTGCCTTATAATTATAATTAACAGCTATGGCACATTAAATTCAAATGCCAGCGTAATACTGGATAACTTTAAAAGAGTTTTAAATCATGCCACTGGCAATAATGAAATATAACAAAATAGACTTTCATTTAATACGATCAAATCAAGTTTGGAATAGATGGATTTCTTCTTTCGTTCCAAACAATACTCCCATTCTTATCTAGAAGAGAACCACATATTCATTTATTAATGCTCAAAATTGTGCCTTTTGGGTGGTGCCAAAAGTAGGCAATCGTGTTACACGGTTTGTTATTTATTCATTGAATAGTACTGGAATATACCCTTTTTTGCCAATCAAAGCATAGGGTTTACGTTCATTGAATTATAATTTCTTATATGTATCGCTCATATGCATATGTATTGCAGTATGTGGTGATCATCACATTAAAAAAAGAAATAATTTTCCAACAGATAAGGTCTTCAACTGGTGACGTTCTATCCCACACTTGTGGAAACAGTATACCGACCCCAGTGTCTGACCGAAAAGGTTTGTGGATTCATTTTCATGCGGATGATTCCGGTGGTGATGCCGGGTTCATGGCTATATACTGCAACAGTAAGTAAATAGATTATCCTTGTTAGCCTTTAACATGGTTCATTAGCAAAAAGGGACTGTACACCACATTTGAAAACTTGTCAACATTCTTAAGTGTTTTTGTTTAACGGCATAGTGTCTATTTAAAATGTACCCAGTATGAACATTAATTGTCGTCATGTTATTGATGAAATTTAGGATCTTCATGTAGCTTATACACACTGACTGTTATTCAGTATGGTATAGTTATATTTTATTTACTTTTTCAATCATCAGCAATTGAGGAGTGCGCACGACAAACTGGTAAATATTAACTACCAACGCTGTAAATATACTTACTGTCAGTAATACAGTACCAATAAAAGTAATTCATGTACTGCTACTGTACTTAACAAGTCAATTGTCCAACTGAAACGGTACGTTAACCACTATACGTCTAGTTTGTCACATTTCTATTTAAAGCAGAGAAATTGAATATGTCACCTCAATTTGTTCTACTTATTAATGTAGCAAGTAATTCATTTGTTTATCTGTACGTTGACTATCCATTCAGCTGTTTATACTTATATATGCATCTTCATGTATGTCTGTACGTTCTGCCTTCTATATCAACGTTTCCAGATAATCCATGCGGTGGCGGCAATTTTATTGCTGGTACCGGAGAGATAAAGTCGCCATTTTATCCAATAGCTTACCCTGATAATATTAAGTGCTAGTACATTATAACACCGGGTGATCCGGAATCCTGTGTCACCTTGTCCTTTGTGGGAGAATTTGAAATAGAATCGGACTGTTCTGATAACTACAATATAAATGCAATAACTTATTATAAAAAGCTATTTGGCCGTATATGAGCACACACTTGGAACATTGCAATAGAAAGCAATGCTATGATTGCAAACTGACCAAGCGCACAAATAATATCGGAGTATAAAACGGTTCTTAAAGATATGCAAGGATATTATCACCCTTCAATTCTGAAGGACAGAATTGAATTGCTACTTAACACGCCAGAGCAAGAGTCATAAAATGTACATACATGTAATAGTAAGACCTTACTTGTTGCACATATTCACCATACAGGGCATAAAACTCTATCCGCCTATTATCTGGTTAAATACAACAGTTACTTGGACATTGTTTAAATAATCGTAACTCAAGCCAGGAATATCAACCGTTTTGTGGAACCTGTTACAGTGAATTTGAAAACAGACACTAGTAGTTTGTTTTATTACCTCTAGCATTGCTATCGGTGAATAGCTGCAAATAAATAAATAAAATCACGTGGACTTGAAATCCAACGTATTGTCTTATGGATACATCTCATATGCAACGAAAGTGTACGTCGATTATGCATCATATAAATACAAATATCATTTGATAATGGACAAAAAGATATCAATGACTGTCAGCTTTTAAAGGGAGTAAGATATTTCAAGGGTTAATTCCGTCAGCAGTCCCAAGTTTCATAACCATGACTCATAATTTTAATGTCTGTAATGTATTAGTTATTTATTGTATGCATATCCTTAACATATTCGATTTTAACCAACATGCGTTTCTTTTAAAAGCTTGCGACAAAAATCAAATTATGTTGTTTAACGATTTATGCTTCTAAAATTATTTTAAATATGTGTTATGAAGAAGAATGTATGTGTATAATACAATTTTGACTCGACGCCTTTAAAGAAACGTTGTTTTAGATTAATATAAATGTATAAATGTATAATTACCATAATATATTAGCAATGGAAAGTTTTTATCGTTTTATAGACTTTCTCGTCACAAGTTCGTGTGGGGAAGTTTTCGATTCCGGCGTCATCACCAGTCCTAGCTACCCGCTGCAGTATGTCGACAATACTGACTGCTACTACACCATTACACCCCTGTTGCCGGGAGGGGGCGTGGCACTCGCTTTTGTTACGTTTGATTTAGAAAACGATGACAGTTGTGGTTATGACTATGTTCAGGTATTATTTTATAGTCATGCATGTAGTATTATAATCTATAAAAAATATGTAAATTATTTTATTTGATGTGAGCAGATCGATACTTGAAGTTCAAAAATAAATTTCTCTATTCTCACACAGCGCGTTAAAGCACTCGTCTGGGTATTTTCTTTTCTTCTTATTATTATGATGATCATCTGTTATAAGTTCATTTTATTGGACAGATTAGAAGCGAGTCAGCATCAGGGAATGAATTGTTAAAGAGATGTGGTTCGAATGTACCTAGTCCAGTCTATGACCCAAATGGCATGTGGATCCACTTCCACACAGATGGCGGGGTGGTCGGTAATGGATTTCTGGCCATATACTGTAACTGTAAGTAAGGGCCTATTCCCATAGATTTTAGTTCGATCTATCCCCGTGGGGAGTCTCACTAGATTACTGTCAAATAATCCGGCTTAAATGTCCGTCTCGCCTACTACAAGCTGTAAGGGGGTAATTAACTTTCGTGCCCGCTCGGCTGACAGCTATTTCGCGTGAACCCCCAGGGAGTTAGGTCGATCTAGTTTGGATCGATCTTATCTCTGGGAATGGGGTCTAAGATTAATCAAGGATCGAATTCATCTCATCTCATTTTGAAGGAACATTTAGTAATTTGTCAAATTCAAGTATATGTGAGTATAAGAACTATCGAGAATGCTTCTAAGTACCAGACTCTTTTCTGAGGGATTTTTTGCCATTGTCTGTGTCAGTTTAATACTTTGCATCGATTTTGATATTTTGAAATATACCATAAAGGTTACGATCTTTGGGGTGTTTTTTGTGTAATAAATTCTTATACACAATTTTGACACTTATATTAACTGCGAACTTTGGGACGTTTTCCATTGTGTAAAAATTTTTTGTAATTAATTTTGATTTTACTCAATTCTCACTTGGAATGCTAGCCAGTGAAGAGTGCCAAGAATTGATAGGTAAATATCCTTACTTCATGTCTTTGAAGGTTATTGTTAACGTGTTTTTCTTCCTATTTACGTACTATAAATAATTTATATAAACCTGAAATGTAGATTTAGTTAATCATTGTATTTTATAGCGTTTATATTCTTGTCACTGGTCGGTACAGAGCCCGTATTTTATCCCCCTTTATATTTATATGAATACAAATATAGCTAATTATTTGCCTTACAATTTTAATAAATTTTATTAAACGAGTGTTTAAAGACAAACAACGTGCTGGGAACTTCAACAACTTTCCCAAAACCATCGAGGTATATTTACCAAATCAAAAACCAATGAGGGTACATAGATCCTTAAAATCATTTTTAGTTCTATTTTTTTTTATTTCATTTTTGGCGACTCGTCTGAAATTTCCAGCTTCCAATTCCATTGCCAAATCTTGTACAGTCTAGCAGGTTACTAATGAATGAAGTACTATAGCTGGGTCCTAATGCTGCTATAATATCCAAAAAGGAGAAGACTGGGTTGCGTATAGTGCTAACTAAGACAGATAGAATTTAAATAGTAGCCACTTGGCAAAAAAATAAATTAATTAATTAATTGATAAATAAAATGAAATAAAATTATATATAATAATAATAATAATAATAATAATAATAATAATATCAAAAGAAAAAAATCACTCTCCGTGTTACTTGATCTCTTCAGCCTTGTGATTGCTCGAAAGTATGAGAAAAAAAAAACATTGTTTTCTTCTCACTTTCTGTTCTCTAGTTGACGTTAAAAAACTTACGTATTGTTCCTTTTCTTTATTATACTTTTGTTAATTTAATCAGCCAAGTTTCAACAGGAATTAGTATAAATAATTAACAACAAACTCCTGCCTCATAAATGTAAATATATGTTTGCTTCTAACCCATAGTCTACCTACAGTCTGTTCTACAGTCTAAGGCACGTTGTATGTCTGTGACTTGGGTGTTTTCAATTACATATTGCTTTCATGAGTTATATGCTTCATTTATCCGTAGTTTTTTTTATAATAGCCTAAAGATATTTTCTCGGAAAAGTCATAAAATTTCTCTTATTCATCAAATTATGTTCCACCCTGATCAGTTGAAAATTTGCAGTTGATAATTTTTAATTGAAATTTCTAATTTTTACCGCCACGATGTTCACCAGTCTACCTTTATATTACTTAAGTGCTTCAAAAGTCTAGAATTCACATGCGAGTTAATGTATCGTAATTTTGTTAACGATTGGGATATGATACGCCTTGGTTAATTGATAACAAGAGAAACACGTTCAAATTTTCTGGATTTTTTTTACATAACGGTTTGGCACTCATGGTAAAACTTATGGTATTGTGCTATTGCAGATAACCCATGCGGAGAGTCCACTTTTCTTAATAGCAGTGGAGAAATCACGTCACCTTTTTATCCTTATGGATACACATATAACACTAACTGCAAGTACAATATAGCGCCCTATAACCCAGAATCATGTGTGACCTTGACCTTTATTGACGAGTTTGATATCGATGCTGCCTGTAATGACTATGTTGAGGTGGGTGCAATGCTTCCAGATTTTAAAGCAGCTTGCTACTCTTGTTTTTCTTGAACTTTTCATGGATTTATCATTTATCTATAAGTAATTACTAAATATTTCATGCAATAAAACAAATAAACAGGAATTTTTCCGAGATGTTGCATCTAACGTGAAAAAGTGTTGTTCCGGGTTTTCAAAACAATGAGTTAATTCGCATTTTTACCTCCATAAAGAGTTGTCTCTTAAAGCAATAAGCTATTCGATAGAAATTTAATCTAGTAGAATCGAATGCCTTTATTAATTCAATCGAGAAATTCTTTCATAAAACGATATTAATGTTGACATAATTCCGTGTAACTTAAGTACATCTGAGGTTACATGTATACGCATAAAACTTATTTCAGAAAGATTTGAAACATTTTTTCATTTGTTTCCGAGCTTTTATCAAATCTGGCTCCTTCCTTAAATATCAAGCCTGATCATGCATAAACGTAGATAAATATACCTACAGGTAATCAACCCAGTCACCATGGAAACCCTTATTCCAAGGACCTGCGGTAGTAACGCGCCCAGTGTTGCAGTACATGCGGGTTTTCTGGAGGTCCGCTTCCATTCTGATTCTACAAATATAGGGAAGGGATTCAAAGCAGTGTACAACGAATGTGAGTACCGGTCCATAGATTGCATCGAGCCATATCTTTTCATCATCTTTACATAAGAGTCGATGAAAAAGCAATGTTACTGAATTATCACTTTGATGAATTGATGGAGTATGGCTTATTTCAGGTCAATAACAGGTTTGAGGAGTTAAAATATGAGATATTTTTGAAGCATTTCAAACCTTTTTACACTTTTAGTATATGTAATTCTAAACGTTAATTAACCTAACGTTCTGTTTAATAGAGTTTGGTCATGACTTTGTACTTATGCGTATATTCATTTTTTTTACATGTCACCTGAAAATGGTGAAAAGACAGATAGACAAAGCCAATGTTTACATTGTTAAATGTTTCTAAACATGATCAGTAAAAAGGATAACAACTCTTCATATGAGATTCAAAATTCAACAAAAATACATTTTAAACAACACATAACAATATAATGAGTTCTATTTTACCACCATAACGGCGGTTATCGCAATCCTGAACTCTGTGCTTGCCATCGAACCACGTGGACGGTCTAAGGCGGTTAACCCCCGAAAAAAATAGCTTCAGAGATTATTTAAAAAACACTTTTTAGAAAACGATTGAATAAAGTTGTATGGAACGTATTTATTAACCATAGAAATATGGGAAAATCGTCGTCTACCTCAGGAAAATCAGTTTTATACCACTTTTCCTGCCAAAATGAGGAGTTATTATCCCCTTAAAGTACTTTTTAAGAGGTAATAAGGAGTAAGTTTANCCCGAAAAAAAATAGCTTCAGAGATTATTTAAAAAACACTTTTTAGAAAACGATTGAATAAAGTTGTATGGAACGTATTTATTAACCATAGAAATATGGGAAAATCGTCGTCTACCTCGGGAAAATCAGTTTTATACCACTTTTCCTGCCAAAATGAGGAGTTATTATCCCCTTAAAGTACTTTTTAAGAGGTAATAAGGAGTAAGTTTAATTTGCTGTAGTTGTGGTAATAGATAATATGCAAATATGCGATTTTAACATTTTCAATCTTTTATGTTGCCATATACATTTTATTGACCCACCTTTTTATCCAATTCATATTTTCATTTTGCACAGCCATAGGAAGCTGTCGTCTAAAAGGTGGGTAGTAAAGGTCACAAATGATTTTAACGCATTTAATGCATAGTATTATATGATAAATTGCTGTGTTCAGCAGATTATTAAAGCAATGCAACCAGCTGGTTGGGGCATTTTGCTAATTCTTTTTTTTGTATTACCTTTTTATATCATGGCATATTTGTGAGCAAAAGGTCTCCTCAACATCTGTCATTCGCTTCAATTAATTCCCAGTCATCAATAACAATGAGATGATTCTGCTAAATACAACCGCCACGTTATACAATGCCTCCGATTGTTAATTGACACGACAAAGTAAAGTTTGTTGACATATATATTCTGAGTCAAAGAGTGCATGTCCATTTCGAACGAACCAACGAATGATTACAGTGTCGTAAATCAATACTTATTAGAATACTGTCAAGGTGCTAATAAAAAGGAGAAAAATTACCATATGCAAAGTAGAAGCGCCCTTTTGGGTATAGGAGTAAAATATATAATGCCCCCCTATTGAGAGATATTGTAATGCCATTGAATTCAATACTTTAGGCGGTGTAACAAGCACTTGCGGTGGAGAGTCCAATTCCACTTACGTCACCACACCAAACTTTCCAGTGGCAAATTACGACCCCAGCACTGATTGTTACTACACCATTAAACCTGCTGAACCCGGAATGGGCGTGGCACTTGCTTTCGTATCATTTCGAGTGACTTCAAGTGATAACTGCGCTGGAGATTACGTGCAGGTAGGTTGATAGTTTTACGTGCCATCTTTTCAACGTGATCAAAGTAATAATAATAATAATAATAAAATTAATAATCATACAAAATATACCGATATGTGTCTTTCCTTAGAAACAAAATTATATAATGATTGAAATAATCAAAAGCACTGACAGTGAAGGAAACACAATACACTTTCATACAGCATCAGTTTTACCATGAGAATTTTTTTGAATACGCACACAATTAAATGCTTTTAAATGTGCATATTCAGTAGTTTGAAAAGATTATATATTTCTGCCTGTTTTGTGTTTACAACAAATCAGATTATAAAAAGTTTTTGGGCACACTATGTTGGTATATTTATTATCTCATATTTTTATGTATGTGCAGATAATTACATAACAGAATAATTCATTTACCAGATAAGGTCATCAAACGGCGATGTTTTATCTCACAATTGTGGAAACAATATACCAGACCTAGTGTTTGACCCAAATAGCTTGTGGGTCCATTTCCATGCGGATGGTTCCGATGGCGATGATGGCTTTATGGCCATATACTGTAACTGTAAGTAAATTGATAAACTGTGGTCATAAAAAAATTTAATTTGAAAGAGGTTTGAGAGAGAATTATATTTGAATTCCGCCAACGGTTTCAAATTCTATTTATATAAGCAATTTTTGTATTTATATGTTATATATTACCTTCTAAATTACGTATTAACATGTTTATTTCAAAAGATCTGTAGCAATTAATTAAAATTCTAATATTTGATATCTATAACACCTAGCGTAAATACGCTTATATTTCGTCTAAATCCATCACAATGTTATATATATCTACATTGTACTTGTATTTTCAATTGTTAGCAAGAGAGGAATGCAGGGGACATACTGGTAAATATGCCTATATACGGATTACACAAATGCTTCATCTTGCAGTACAAATTATAATAATTCACGTAAAAGGATTGTTAAACGCTCCTTAAACCCTACGTAAAATGTGTCAGTCAACAGTATTCATCGTTCTATTGTTTAAGCTCTCTATCTCTATATCTCTCTACACAATTAGGATACATGATCATGTTGGGTAATATGTAAATAAGACCACAAATTACTTAATGGCTGATTGATATAAGACTGAAATTAAGTCTATAGTATGTACATTATGATTAGATTGAATGTATGGACTGGTGATCTGCAGTGTAATAAAACTCAGTATACGTTATTGTGCATCCGAGTACCTTTTCGTGCAAATTTTGTCCATTAAACATTATATCACATTTCTATACAAATGTTACTGACAAAAATAGAAAGTTAGAACTCAAATTGGGTTCAAGGATCGTTATTTTCAACCCCAATTGTTATTGTAGAATCCCTTGACAATTAAGGAAAAAGAGTAGGCCTAGGCATTATTATTATTATTATTATTATTATTATTATTATTATTATTATTATTCCATATAAAGATCTAACACTCATTTATTAACACTCATTTTCCTGCATTTTTGATATTTCAGCTAACCCATGTGGTAATACAAGTTTTATTGGTGGTACTGGAGAAATCATGTCACCTTTTTATCCTTTTGCTTACACCGACAAGACACATTGCAATTACGTTATATCAGCTGCAGTCCCAGGCGCATGTATGACCTTGACCTTCACAGGCGAGTTTGACCTCGAGGCTGACTGTGATGACTATGTAGAGGTCAGTTTCATTTTGAGTTACATTTCAGGAAGCTCTCATATTCTAAGTTAATTGAGGATCCATGGTTGAGAATATGGGACGTGGATGAAATTTAGATGCGACTAAATTGCTCGAGATCTTTTTGGAAGGCTTGTAGCCTACATAATATGAGAGCAATAAAATTAAATTGTCCACGTTAGCCATGTTAAGGACTATGATTTTATCGTGTAATACTGCTTTTATTAAAATGCCTGTAAGTGTTTGGAAAGAGAGAGAAACGAATTTAAAGGAGATTGATGACGATTTTAATATAAAAACATAGATTTAACATCTTCTTATTGCAGGTGATTTGTGTTCATATTAAAGAGTTTGCATTTAAGTACATGTATTATTTTAGGTTTTAAATTTGATTACCTTGGAAACTCTGGTACCCCGTTCTTGTGGAGCCATTGCCCCAAGCGTCCAGGCCAAGGCCTCAAAGCTGTTGTTAAGATTCCATTCTAATCCAAAAAATAAAGGAAAGGGGTTTAAGGCAGTCTATAATGAATGTAAGTTTTTGGTCCGAGAATTGTAACAAACATTCATATATAGTCATATAATTGTATAAAGGTCCTGTGTGCTTTTAATTACAATTCATGTACATTTAACGTAAAGGCAACAGTAAAAATAACTAGTAGCAGTATATTTTTGAGAAAGCAGGTGTTTCATTTCTTACATCATTTATTTTTATAATAATAATGATACATTATGCGTATTCTTTTTCCTTACATTTATATGCATTTTATTAAAACACAAACAAGCACAATTAAAATATAAAAATTCTTTATTTATCACAATGCAAACTTTAAAGTTTTAAAAACAATCATATCATTATAATAATTAGAAAATAAAATTAAAATGTTAGTTTTAGAGAAAGTTTATTATTGTCTTAATAACTTTTAGATCTTATATGGAAAGGTAGTTTCTTCCCCAATTTCGGTGCATAAAAAAACAAACAAACAGTGAAAGTCAAATAATAGTTACATGTAGTCCACTTATCACCATTTTTACTGTATTTTTCATCCATTTTCTTGCAGCTGCAGAAAACTGTACCGTGACAGGTGAGTTGGAAAGGGATTGCTTGTAACAAAGTAGGCCCTACGTCTTTTATATTTTACAATTATCTCTAGACCTGTTGAAATAAAATATTAGAGTTCTGTTAAGATACAGCTGTACGCTTGGTTTTTCAAGTCTTTCCACGGAGAGAATTGCCCCTCAAGGATCTGAAAATTTTTCATCAGGTGAAATTATGATTGAAAAAATAAATACAGCAGTGATCATTCTATTCAACACGTAGTATTGGGCCTGTTGTTTAATTTCAATATTCACCAGGATAGCTCATTTCCATTTAAAGATTCTCCCTATAGACATCAGAATAATAATAAAGGTGGCAAGCAACAATTTTAATACTACCAGTAGCTGCTAAATGGAGAAATAGCATTACTTTATTCCTCTAGGGGATTCAGTTAACTGATTGATCACCTACCATAAGGAAGTGATGCACCTACATTGTGGACGTAGTATAAACAAGTCCAACGCTAGCCCAGGGTTGCATTTCCCTTTGATACGCTACTAAACGACATCGATTGCGAGTTATTGTATTTTTATCACAAAGAAACGGTTGGGTGACCACATATTGCCAAAAGAGGTCCAGAACATGTTACGCCTCTTTATTAAGGATTTACCTTTTCACTAGTGATTTTTCTATTACCACAGGTGGCGTAAGTAGTACATGTGCTGGGGACTTTAACCACGGCGTGATTCATTCGCCAAACTTCCCGCAAGGAAATTATCAAGATAACACCGACTGTCACTATGTTATAACGCCTCTGCAACCAGGAGAGGGTGTGGCGCTTGTCTTTGTCCTTTTTCAGCTGGAACACCAAAGGAGCTGCAACTACGACTTTGTTCGGGTGAGTTGGCATGGTGTCTGTTACAAGTTTTGTCAGTGTAGTGAGTGAGTGTTTTGTATGATTGTGATTCCCACACCAAACCTGGTGCCACATGGGATTTGAATGGGAAAGCCCGGGAAAGTGTGCATATGCAAATTGCCCTTGATGATTTAGATAATAAATGTATGTACTGCAAACGATATAACATTACCATGTTTCATTGTTTATAAGAAGGCATTCTAAAGAGCGATTTATGAAAAAGGGAACTTTTTCTAATTTAACTGAATAATATCCTATGAAGTTGTTTAAACTCATATTTTGTATTCCATCAGATAAGAAGTGTATCCGGGAATTATCTTTCGAAGAGCTGTGGATCTGTATTACCTGATCCAGTTTATGATGAGCATGGTCTGTGGGTCCATTTCCACAGTGATCACAGCTATACCCATGTCGGGTTTTTGGCAATATACTGCAACTGTGAGTGAAATGGAAAATAGAACAAAATTGGCCATATTTGATAGTTATTTGCAAAATGCTTCACTAATTATTTTCATAAAAGGCTTTAGATTAAATCCAATCATTATTACTGCATTTGTTCTTTTACAGTAACTGCTTTTGTTTATATAATGTCAACGTCCACCCAGTGCCTTTGCTCTATAAGCTGTTATTCATTATTATCATTATAATTATAATCATTATCATTATATTATTATTATTATTATTATTATTATTATTATTATTATTATTATTACTAGTAGTAGTAGTAGTAGTAGAAGTAATAGTAGTAGTTGTTGTATAGTGTTTGTAGTAGTAGCAGTAACAGATTTTCTTCCGGACAATATTAAAAAGTAACTTACTTAGAATAGGTTTGCACTGTATAGCTTAAGCCTGCAACCCTACGAATTTAGCCAATGGCCTGAATAAAGCATATCCATTGACTATTTTTGTGTTTTCGTTTGTGTAATAGAATTTTTTATCTTATTAAAATGCCAGCAATTCAAGAGTGCCGAAAACGAATCGGTTAGTATATGGTTCTTTCATGTTATAAGAACACATACAATATATCTTGTTGATTTTGAAGAATCAGTAATAAAGATATACGTCTTTTGTCAAGTACGGTTGCTATATTTATTAACAAGCATTGCATGTAAAAGTGTACTTGTATGATTGTTGTCAGCCATCAGTCTGTTTGACAGAAATGGTAGTCCACTATAAACCATAGTGCTGTATAATTTCCAATGTTTTGTTTAAGTTACATTCGTCCCATAGATTAATTCGATAACCCTAACTTATACAAATGATATTGAACCCTGGACATTGTATTATGTTACAACAGCTAACCCTAACCTGTACTAATCATATATGACACTAACGACTTATGTTTCCATGACTACCATTCCTGTCACACATGGACTGAACTAATTTTGTGGACCCTTGTTCGAGTTCAGTGGTTGTTGCATGACATAATAATAATAATTTATTCAGTTTTTCAAGGCCTCCGGCCCATAGTATATAATAGTAATAATAAAAATAAAAATAATGACATAAGCGGCTGTGTGTAGGTGGCCAAAGGTCGGAAGCCAATGTCAAGGTCGATGCACCTTAGGCCGGATCGCAGCTGAGAGCACAAATGATGTCTTACTTCGTTTGTTGGTTAAAACTAAGTTTGGGTGATGTACAGTGAAAGTGTGTATTTAAGATACATGTGCGCTCATTTCTCGATGCTTTCTATGAATAACCTAATAAAATTGTAATAATGATAATGAATTATTTATCGTAATTACCTGAATTAATTAATTTTCGAAATAATTAATGATAAGGTGTAATTAAGAATCAAGGGGTGTGTGTGTGTGTGTGTGTGTGTGTTTGAATTTATTCAGAGAATCTACATCCGATTGTTTATGGTAAAATAGATTGTAACTTGATTGTTTTACAGAAAACCCGTGTGGGAATACTAATATAAGTGCCGGATATGGAGAAATCACATCGCCATATTATCCTTACGGGTACATAGATAACATAGATTGTGAATATACTATCGTTCCTGAAACACCGGATCATTCCTATGTCAGGTTAAATTTTGTAGAGGTGTTCGAATTTGACGCTGAGTGCAACGATTTTGTCGAGGTATGTGACGTTTTTGTTATCTTGCGAATTCAAACTTGATAAGGTGAATCGTTTAGCGAGATAAACCGCATTACTATGATGTTGTTTATGAAGTAAAATTACTTTATAAGTTTTGCCTGAAATTTATACTTGTATCTTTAAGTTCAGGTATTTTTAAATGTACGAAGAGAAGCTATTGGCGACCCTTTCCCGCTCTATCGACTTACTTAGCGAGTAGTCAAGTCTAGATGAAACTGTCAACAAGATTCACACACAAGCACACACACACACACACACACATATATATATTAGTTTCCGCAAACAATTTTCAATATAAGTAGGCTATGCATAGATCCAATAGAAATAAACCTCTGTCACCACAGGTCTTTGATCTGGTGTCTATGGAGCCTCTGCATCCGCGCTTCTGTGGATCAACAAGGCCTAGTATAGAAATCCAGTCCCCTAGCTTGCTGGTGCGGTTCCACTCTGACTCAGATACAAGGAGAGTTGGATTCAAGGCCATTTACAATGTCTGTGAGTATGATTTTGATGGCAATGTTTCAACTTCTACAGTATAGTATACTGTTACATTTCGAAATTGTTTCAAATTGCAAGTTTCACTATATTTGTCAACGTTACATTGTACAATAGATATGTCTATCTAGTGCATTTTGAGCAACGCTACTCAACTAACTGCATAATCTCTATCTTTGTTATTCAATTAAAAAAACCCTGTACTTTGATTGTCTATAATTTATATTTGAAATTATAATTTTGACAAGCTGAATCATAGTTTTAAACCGTTCGCCCTTCGCACCTGCGGATCCCTCCATATAATCCTGGATCCGCCCCATGCACTTTCCACAATTATATCCGTTATATTCCGTAATTTCCTAAAGATTCACCCACAGTTACCATTGGACTTGAATGCTCTTTATCCCGCCAGTGGTACAAAAGATGGCGCTGCTATCGTCGCTGCGATCATCTAGTCCTTGTTATTTTAAAAATTCTTCTTATTATTATTATTTACAGCTCCCTACGACCCCTGCGGACACGTACACTATTATAACTACACATCTGGGGTTTTCGCCTCACCAAACTATCCGTCCAATTACAATAGAAGTATCAACTGTGCCTTCCGCGTACCTCACTATTACTATCACTATGCACGTGGCGTAACGATAGCTTTCGTAAGTTTTGTTCTACAAGGAGGTCCCAACTGTTCTTCGGACTACTTACAAGTGAGTCGATGTTTTTATGTATGTCACCTTGTGGATTACAGTTTCCTTTTGTGAAAGATTGAGTAGTTTTGCTGTTTGGTTTTTTTTAATCATATTTTCATTCATGAAAATATGTGTATTTGAAGGTGGCAGTTTGTTGTTTTCACCTTTAATAGTAATAAAAATAGAACCAACTACAAAGTAAATAATAAACATGGAGAACAAATATTACATCCGTAAATATTAATGATAAATATTAAAATCTGATGTCTCAAAATAAGTCTTGCTTTGAGACAGTTATAGGCTAATATAAATGCCCCTTTTAAGGAAAGAAAAACGTATGGTGCCGACAAATTGGACAAAAAATTACTACATTTTCGACATTAAATTGTACTAAATTTGTTTGTTTATGTGTTATAAGTATGCGTTCATTGATGTGTATGTTCTGTGAGTTAAAGGTCGTACGTCGTTTGTGTCTGTGCACAGGAACTGTAGTTGTATGTCTTAAGTTATTCGTATTTGTTCACACTTTCGTACTTAGATATTGGAAGTTACAAATAATATTCATTTTCGAACTCAAGTTTTATAAATGCAACAAGGACTGGTGGTCTAAATTGCTGAACTGAATATTTAATCATTGTTAGGTCAGGAATGGATCGGCGATGGGGAATGTTTTATTAAAGAGCTGTGGTTCTGTGATACCTGACCCAGTATCTGCTGAGAACGGAATGTGGGTTCATTTCCACAGTGATGACAGTGTAGAGGACTTCGGGTTTCTGGCAATATACTGTGGCTGTAAGTACTAGGCGTATAGGGAGGGGGTCAGGTGTTATGTTATACAATACATCGTTATACATGTCAATATGTGTTGTCTCACATATTGCTTACCCTTCAGAATTTACTGCCAGTAGCTGGTAATAATATTTAAGTACAGAAGCATCTCAATTATTCATAACTTTTTGGTTATTCGTCTTTTAACTATTGTGGAAGAAATCTCATTGTTTTCAGTTTATTTATATGGCTTATTTCTTGTCATACGGCTTGAACTACACATTTTAGCAACCGAAACGTGCAACTAAACTGCTTCTTTTACTTTTTCAATTTCATTTTATAAAGCACAAGAGGAGTGTCAGCAACGGTTAGGTAAGTTTTAGAAGTAGGTCGCTTTTTAAAAGATGTTTTAAAGATGTGAACGGTCACGATTTTTCGAGGCACGTTCTCCGGATTTGGACTAATGGCGTGCGGTATGTGGACAATTAAAACTTTAAATACATAAATGGATAGATAATGCCCTCCGTTTACCACGGGATAATTCGTTACATATGAATTTTAGCAACAAAATCCTCTTTTGTGTACCTTAAAGTGCAGAGTAGAGAGTATAAAGCCTATAGTCTGGGACGTAATCAAAATCTGGAGAGGTGGGTTCTATAAGTGTAAAAATGAAAGTGAATGAGCCTCAAGATGAATACTCCCCTGATTTTTCTTTTATTTTCTCAAACTTTTCATTATCGCGATACACGTACAGTTCAGTATTCCAACACTGAACTGAGTACCACGGTTTACTTCTTGAATTCTCCTTTTTGCAAGTTGAAATAACGGGTTTGAGTGTACTTGTATATGGAAATTTGCTTTTAGTACCTTAATTGATTTCAAACTCGCTGGCATTGCAGAAAATCCATGTGGTGAAACCAATCTCGTCCCTAGTTCTGGTCAAATCCGGTCCCCGTATTACCCGGTGGTCTACCCGGACAGCCTGGACTGCGTGTACAATATAACACCTGCCAAAATTGGATACACCGTGAGACTGACTTTTTACCAGCTGTTTGATCTAGAATATGAAACAAACTGTAGTTCTGACTATATAGAGGTGAGTGCTTACTAATCCTACCATATTACTGCTTGACACACAGTAAGCGTAAGGCCTTAAATATAACACAGAATGGAAAATTTCATGGAAAATTTTCTTTGTCACTAAGGCACACCTATCCAACTTCGTTAAAAATATATTGCTATGTAAACCACATTTTTTTAGTTTTAAATTTAAACTTTTTACCGACAACTTTCTTTTGCCATTACTGAGGTGGCTAAAAAAAGTCAGATTTTTTTCCTCATGTCTTTCAGATTATTAATCCGGTTACCCAAAAAACTATTTTGCCTCCTACGTGCGGAACGACGGCCCCAACTGCCATTAATCATGTCGGAAGTTTATTGGTGCGGTTTCACTCAAATGGTGACGTCGGAGGAAAGGGTTTCGGAGCATCATATTATAGCAGTGAGTACAAAAACGGGAAAAATGGTTATACGTCAGTAGGTTTTCAGAGATTAAGCGTCTTTTATTACTTATGAGGCATGACGTTTTTCAAGCTCAGATTATAGTTTTGTCTAGAAACGATTTTTCTATACAACCATGTTCAAACAAGCCTAGACATGTAAAAAAATCCTTGGTTATTTCGTGCATTTCACTTTTAAGTGAAACACAATACATGTACATTTGAACGTGTAGTTGTTGTAGAATTTTGGCAAATGAAACGTGTTGGACGTTCATAAAACAAAAAAATACGTTTCATAAGATTTATAATTAAAATTTTGCTGTAAAATGTCTAGCAATTATTGCTTTCATTCAAAAGTTTATGTTATATTCTTTTTCAGATTGTTATCATAATATCATTACAAGTGAAGGACAGATTACGTCACCAAACTATCCTAATTTCTATGAATCCGGTATTTACTGCTATTACATTTTCCAACAGCCACAAAATGGACATTACCTTGTCCTCGAATTTACAGATTTTGATTTGCAATTTAATATCAGTTGCATAGGAGATAACATTCGTGTAAGTATTATTATGCAGTGTACTGTTCTGTCGTAAAAAAACACTCATATATTTTCACTAGTAATTTTGTGTAATAAATCAAGTCTAGAATTTATCTTATCAGTTTTTAAATACACACACACACAAACATATACATATATATATATATATTATTATAATTATTTCTTTCAAGAACTTCACTTTTTGCTATGTAGAAACAATTGTTCCGAGCGACGTTCTTATATCAAAACAACTGCAACTGAGTTGTGCCTTCAAATTTAAGCTGTCTGTCGAAGGGTTTGTGAAGAATGCATTGGACGACGCTTCAAACTCCCATATTTCTGGGGCTTTAGAAATTTCAAGTCAATGTTTGGGCTTAGTGAAAATATTACAAATTATACGTTATACACAAAGATGGGTGCTTACCCCATCAAACATCCGTACCAGGTAAACTTTTTCCAGTGCCATTTACATAAAGTACATTCACATTTGTGATAATTAATCTTTTTACCCTTTACCTAATTGTCACAACTTACGATTTTGAAATCTTTCCCTAACTCTATGTACAAAATATTAGTAGAAATCTAGAGGTTCTTAGTTAAGAAATAAACAGACACTGACCAGTTAATATTTCGCATGTGTATACAACCATACTCCATTAGGAAATAGAGTTGTCATAACACAGGGTATATTCCTATTTTTACAGATATACAGTTATCAAAGCGGATGGCTTGGACCGTTTTGTGGGTCAGTGCCTCCGCCTCCCCTATATATACGAGGGGGCAATTTACAATTCCACTCGGCCGTGAGTGCAATCCATGCTCACCGTGGCTTTAGTGTTAATTTTTCTACGGGTAAGTATTACAATTGTACAGATACTGGGTATCCTATCGTAGTAATAATAGGAAGGATCTGTTAGGTACATCATGGACAAAATGTGAAATTTACTTTACTGTACTAGTGATTATATATTAATTTTGAAAATATGCAAATTAATTCAAGCAATGAGGCAATTTTCTACATTGGCAGTGGCAGCGCCGCCAAGCGTGAGCACCCCAGTGATGTCAGCTATTGCAACACCTGTGACGCTATCTCTAGATGAATGGGTGACGTCAGCATTAAGTATACCGATGATGTCAGTCTGGGATTTTACGCCTTACACAGATGCGACTTCATACACAGAAACAGCGGCGGCTTCAACCACTTACGGACCAAGCGCTTATGTCGAGTCTTCAGAATGGACTTCCCCTGTGGTTCCTAGTGGCAGTGGCTTAAGCATGATAAGCCAGTCGTCAACAATGCACGGTGTAAGCTCGTGGACTTTTGAAGGTTCAGAATTGTGGCCAAATGCCACCTACAGTGAATTCACGCAAGTGGCAAGTTCTGTGTACGAAGCGGCAACATGGACCGAGACAACACCAGCAGTACATCTTCACAGCGTGTCACCATCAGAGCCTGGCACGAGCGCAGATGTTGATATCAGCACCATGACGACATTGGCAACGGCAGTCAACGTAACCACTACCGTTACAAACACACCAATCA